TTGAACTTCAATCAGTTTGGGTTTTTGAAACAAGACTCTTTTATCACTCTAAGTATTAATGTTCTCAAGAACTTTTTTTTAGGAATTTTAGATAATTTTTCGTACTACAACATTGTTATTTTTTATAGCAGAGGTTGACAAGTGTTTTTTTTTTAAATTTTTACTGAGTGTCATTTTTTTGTCATTATTTCTTGTAGGACAGGGTACCCAGAACTGGATGCATTAATTAAGGATCCTCAATCGCTTCGATTTATATTTCACCTTTTGAAAGTTTTACAAATTGAAGAATATGAACCAGATAGGTGGCAACTGAATTGCGAACAAAAGCGAGAAAGTGTTTTACAACTCAGACTAAAGGGCAATGAATTCCACAAAAAAGTTGGGTTTTTTCTATTGTTCTGAGAATATTTTTTGCGCAGGTTTGTAATGGCTAATTAAATCTTTGTACTATGCATTTTCTTCCTTTACAGTGTAAGCTGTATCTAATTGTTTTGACGGGTTTTTGACTTCTATATAATTTTTTATAGCTGTGAAGTACAAATGTTTTGGATGAAAAATCACTTTAAAGCAGCTTACACTTGACCGTTGATTGTAGGGGGACTACGAAGAAGCAGCTTCACATTATCGGGAAGCATTAACTAGGCTTGATACACTGTTACTGGAAGAAAAACCAGGTGACCCAGATTGGATTCAGCTTGACCAGCAGGTTTAAAATGTATTTAACGGAGCTTACACTTTATGAACAACGTTTTAGATAATAACTGAAGTAACTTTTTAGGAAGTATTGGTTTATTTGAATAGTTAATGCAAGTTTTCAGAATATCGTGTTGTATTTGAACTTAGCACAATGTTTTTTGAATATGGGGCAGTACTATGATGCCATAGCAGCAACGGATGAAGTGTTAAAGCGAGACCCAACAAATGATAAAGCATTGTTTAGACGAGCCAAAGCTGAAATAGCTGTTTGGAATTTGGAAGATGTAAATTTTAATTTGTTTTTCTTTTCGGGCTATATACAAGTATTACGGTCAATAATTTGAGGCATATTTTTTTCTAGGCGGAAAAGGATCTTGACAGGTTGTTGAAGTGTAAAGCTGAACTAAAGAATCTAGTGGAGCAAGAAAAAAGAAAAATAACCAAGTTAAAAGTGGAACGACAATCGGTAGAGCAAACTGTTTGCAAGAACATGTTCAGAAACAGTAGCTGATTTGATGCCAGCGGGTTAGGAATAACATTTGTGCTATTTTGTTTAGGCATGAAAAATAAGCTGATAAAGCGGTGTAATGATAGGGAAGGTTGAAGAGGTTATCAAATGCAGAGCAGTTTTTCTTTTACCAGTTAATTTTATTATCTGTGGTGCTGAACTCATAACATTTTAGATTGTTATAAGATCAAAATCTTGAACTGCTGTCAGATTAATGTCGGGTGTGTTGGGTTGTTTACTTGGAAGTTAGTATGATTGAGAATTTTATTTAGGTGCTAATTAAAAAGTAAATTTACTATTAGTTACAGTTCTCTTCTATTATGTGCTCTCAATTCTAATTATTAGTTTTTTTTTCATCTTATGAATGCTTCTTCTATTAAAGTAATTTATTTATTTATTTATTTATTTTTTGTAAAAGACTGTTTCTATTGTTTTTGTTTCATGCTAAAAACTGTTCTAAATGATTGAACTTGCTCATCTCTGCTTTCAGTTATTTTTCTTCCTACTTTTACTTTTTAGTTTGATACAGCTTAGGTTTCGAACAGTTTTATTCGCCGTTTTGAAGCATTAATGAGCTATGACAAATTTTTTGCATAGTAATCGCTACTCATTTGATATTTGTTTTAAGAACTTTGTTGATCGTGCACGAAAACTGGAGAAAGAGAATTTTTTTGTATGCAGCCACAAACTCTTTTAGCATATATTTATTTTGGTCGTATTAGTCTGAGTATTTACTTCTCTCTTTATTTTTTTTACAAGTATTTTTATTTTTTTCAGTTAGTTAATTGAGTATTTTTTGACGGTTTCAGCGCTTTTCTGAAACAGCAACTAATTGGAGAATGTAATTTCAATCTGATGTAAAACTTTCGCAACAGAAAGAAATTTCTTTAGTTGGCCAAAGTTGAACCTTTTCATTTTACTCTAGAGATTCTGTGCATACTGTTACGTCAATATTTCAACGACCTGTTCTGTGAGTACTCGTCTTTGCAGCGGAACACTTTTTTTAGCCTTTAGAAATAGTTTTTTTGGTCGATTATCATTTGGAAAAACAGACATAGAATAGAACACTCTTGCGTTTGATGGGTATCTGTTGATTCCACCGATCAGGTATGCTCTGCGAAAATTTGACTGCGCGGAATCCTGTTTTCTTGTGCTGCGAAAGTAAAAACGGTCAGAAAAAGAACGTCAGAAGTTGTATGAAGCGCCGAGTTGCCCTTTTTGATGTTGTGTTTAAATTTTTGCAGAAGCTAAAAGTTAATGTTCAATACCAGTCGGTAGTATTTGTCTATACCGATTCAGTGCTATCATATTTTTCAATCTAGTTTTTTTTGCTTTCAAGTTTTATTTCCTAGTCACCTCTCTCTTCTGCCCTTCTCTTTCAAGGCTTCCTTACTACCATCAGTTGTAAGGAAGCCTTGAATTTGTGGACATACTTGCTCACAAATCTCACAGGCCTCGGCATTAGCTCTTTGCTACTCTCTTAATTTCTTCATTTTGTCTTGCTAATGCAATCCGTGAATGGATATGGTCATTGGTTTTAATCAATTTTTTAATTAGCAAGTATTGTAAAGAAACTTTCGAATGAACAGTTTTATGCGTTATTCCTCTCAGCTTCTTGACTTAACTCTGTTGAGAGCCAAAATGAACTTATAAAAAACAGTTTCTGTCGTCGAGCTTTTTTAAGTTCACTTTCGACAGAGTTAGAAACTTGCTACTTCTAAACACTTCTCGTTTTTTCTTTTGGAAATCAAGAGACTGTTTTGTTTCCTTTTTTTCTGACTTCTTTGCTACAGCTAGTGAGTACCACTGGAATGCGTTTACCGGAAGTCTACTGTATATGGCACTAAGATACTGGAAGAGTGCTACCTTTTCTAAGCCGCAAAACAGTAAAAACTTTTTGCGTTTAAAAATAAAAAAATAAAGAAGCTCAGAGCGAAAGTGAGTATTCTGAATAAATGTTTGTACATCTTTATTTGAAACTGCGATTAAATTCTCCAGTATTAAACAGTATTGTTCGATACAAAACTTGGTAGATTAAAGTTGCAGATTTTAGGTTTGTATTTGTATTCTCGTTTCTTACTTTATTTTACTTCTTTATACTTACCTATGGTTATTTTTTTGTACCTTGGTTTTGCTAAGCATTGTTGTTTATTGGTTTGTTAGCTTGTCTTCATATTTTTCATGAAGTTTTTGATGAGGAGTGTTTTGGTTGCTGGAAACGACAGTTGTTGGCTTTGAGATTCGGTGTTGTTTCCTTTTATATCAGCATCTGTAACATTTGTAAGAACTGAGAATAGAAGTACTAAATTAAAGAAAGGATATAGAAGAAAAAGCTAAATAAAGAATGTAGACTAAAAACGTTCTTTCTTTCTCGTTATCTGTTGAAGAAGCTTCACAAAGGTCAGTGGAAATTAGGAATTCAATTAACTACTGCAATAAGCAGATATTTTTGGTTTTTGGCATAATGCTCACAGAGTTCGCTGTAAAGTGTCAATCGTTTAGAATTTTTGATGTTGTTCAAGTGACATATATATGTAAACAAGTAATCATTTTTGTTGATATATAATATGGTTCAAGTGTTGTTAATCTCAAATTTGTTTGTCACAAAAGAAATTTCTTTTGCTTTATCAAAAGTTGATGCGTGATTTTGAGGAATGTAAATAAAAATTTTTCCTGAAAGTATTTGGTGTAATATTTTTGGATAAAAAATTTAGAGTTATTTTGACTTTTTGTTTTCTCCTTCTTCTTTTTAATTTAATCAATTTTTTGCTTCACACTTTAAACTGGCGACGAACCCCCCCCAAGGAGGGTAAGGGTAACTGTGACCAAAAAGTAGTATGGGAAGAATATAATTACAGCACTCTCTGGAATGACTGCCCGTGAGGAAAGAATAATGGTTGGAGTCTCCTACAGCTTTTTTTTTATTGTACTTATCGTGCTTAGAAAACATTGTTGACGTCATTCATATATGCGACAGTTTGTAATTTTGAGGTTTGTTACTTGTACTTCTCGAGCTTTTAGTTTCATATCATTTTAACTCATATATTTATTTTATAACTGCTGATAGTGATGGGGGTAATAAACCAGATGAAGTTTATGCAACTGCTAGAAACAGTTTGGGCCGAAACGTCTATACCGTCATTAATGGAGTAGTGCTGGGAGCTTAAAACAACAGACAACAGATCATACTTCGCTGATTTTTACTGTAGGATATACTGCAAATAGTCAGTGGGTAAAAGTGGTATTTACTATTATTCATAACGAAAAAACCGAAAAAGAGCGTAAAAAATTACTTTTATTGCTACTGTAGTTTTTTCTTAATGTTTTTATGAATTATTTTTGAAGTTTAGAGAGCAGAGTAGTTTCCAGAGTTTAGTTACTTAGTTGTGCAGTCACTTATCGTTATCGTCGCTGAAGCCGTACACCCGTTTATGCAAATATTCTTAGCGGCAACATAGGAATTATGAAAAAGAATTATGAATTTCACCACTATTAACCTCTTGAAGAAGTTATGTTAATTTTTTATCGTGGTTCAAAATCAGTTTGTATTTCTTGGTGTTTACCCACTTATGCAACGTGACTGCGAAAACGCTCAACCCCACATCAGTTTTTTTTGTGATACATGTATGTTTCGCTTGACACTTCCCTTCCTCTTGCAACAAAAAGTTATACGGCTGAAGTACTGAGGTGCTAGTATGTTGGGGAACTCCTTACTAAAAGCTTGACTTGAGTAAGTCTAAAGAAAGTTCAACCTAGAACTGCAGTGCAGTTTCTGTTTTTCCTGTCATTTGATTTCTAAATATACAGTGTTCTTTGATTAACCATTTGTCACTCTTCTTGCTCTAATTGTTGAACGAAATAAAAAGCGCAAAATTTACTACATAGCCCAACCACTAGCGAAGTACCTCGAGTACTTCAGAGTCTGATATCATATAACCAAGGATCATTAATCATTCATATTTCTCTACGAAATATATTTTCTTAATTTAACTTTGAAAAATACAAGCAGATACTAGTTTTTAAGAATTATTTGGGACAACAAACAATGAGCTTTGATTTACTGCTTTATAAAAATAGCTCAGTTCTTAAACTGCTGAGTAATTCCGACTTTTGATTTCACAAGAATTTTTTAAAGTACTGAGTGCTTTTGAACATTACATCGTCGACTCCTCCAAAGATCAAGAAAATTTATAGAAAGAAAAAAGTGTTTATTTTTTGACTCGGCCAGTTGAGGGCAAAATAAGCTGAAAGCGGAAGTAGGAACTAGGAGCAGCCATACATAACAGTTAATGACCTTTAACTGTTAAGAGTATTGTAAAATGAACAGAACTGCAAAAATGGGGAGAAATTTGCAGACGTACAGAATGGCGGATCTTAAAAATTCATCAGATTCTAACTGTACCGCTCTAAAATTTCCATAAAACAATTCCAGGCCGCAATTCTAAAGTGACCTGACATACAGTCGAAATTGCTCTGCAGTGTATTACTAAAGGCAGCGTGGAAAACCAAGCAGGTAGTCGTGTTCTCAATCTAAAGTTTGTACGTTTGTTTCTTTTAAAAAAATCGGGATAAAGTACACCAGTGTCAATGTTTGCTTAAAAAAGGAAAACTCTACCCCTACCACAAACTGGAACTCTATCACCACTCGTTCTGTTCACAAAATTCTTCTACAGGAGTCAAATGTGTCGTACAGATACCAGACTGAAAGTTATTCTTTATTATCACAAAAAATGGATTATAAAAAGAATTCTGGCTTTTATGCAGCCTTCAAGAATTTATAAAATCAAAGTTGAAGTACAGTCAAAAGTCGCATTGCAACTTGCAGGTTAGACGCGATTACTGCGACATCATAAATTAAAACAGAAGTACCACTCGTGTAAGTTTTTTATGATCTACGCCAAGTCTCACTGAAAAACCAAAAATTCAATATCTAACCGGTGCAAATTATTCAGAAATGCAGACATTGACAGAAAAAACTGTCTGAAACTTAGCAGACCAGGTCA